TCAGCCATCAGACGCCCACTAATGGACATATAGGCCTCCCGAAAAGAATGCCATAAGAACCTATCTAGCGTTGCTCTTTCTGTGTTAAGTCTATTTATTTATACTAATGTTATAAAGAGGCAGAGTTTGTTTGTTTGTTAGTTTGAACGTGCTAATTTCAGAAACTACTAATCCGATTTAAAAAATTCTTTTTGCATTAGATAGCCCGTTCATTGAGAAAGTCTATAGGCTATGTATAATCATGCTACTATCCAAGGGAGCGGAGCAGTAATCATAAGTGTCAAAAAATCGGGCAGATTTTCATACATTATTGTAAAGGAAAGGAAAAGAAGAATATGTTTTTTTTTGTATTTTAAGCGTGGGCGAAGCCGCGGGTTCTGGTAGTTTACAAAAGTACGTACGTACACGGACGTGTCGGACATATTTATTATTTAGGATAGCACAGGATAGGGTCTGAAATAAAACGTAAGATTAAAAATAAAAATCAATTTAGTATATTATTGTATAACAAATTGAAATTACAATTTAACTCTTCGAGCCTTTTTTTCTGCCATCAAATCTATGGCACACACAACATATAAAATTTTTCTTAGTAATATTTAGCCAGCGAAAGGTTTCTAGGGAGGACTCGATAAAACCAGTTATTTTATTTTCCCGTGGGAAACAAAGATTTTCTTGAAGTAAAAGGTATCCTTAATGATGACTTCAGTAATAAGTTATCACTTCACCAAATTTCGTTGAAGTCGGTTCATTTGTTTTCGCGTGAAACGCGCACACAAAAACAAACCAACAGACATACAGGCAAATAGACAAACAGACACAATTTTTAATAACTATTGTTTGGGGTCTATATTGTGTATATAATACCAGATTTTTTCAATTTTTTTGTTTCTCTGTCTGTTTGTCCGTTTGTATGGGCTAATTTCCGAATCTATTGGACCGATTTAAATAAAATTTAGGTCAACGTCTTAGATACTTTTCATCCCGGAGAATTAAAGAGTTCCTGTGGGATAGTTCAAAAATATAGTAACTTATACAGCTTAGTACACAAAAACTACTAATTGGATTTTCATGAAACTTTACAATAGAACTTAAACTATACTATCGCGGTGGCGGTAATGGAAAATTTTATATACTTTTTTATATTTGAGTTCAGAAGAATAAAAATAAAAAAATGATTTATTTTGATTGGCCGCAATTTTTTTTTAATAAAAAAATAATATGTTAATTAAAATATCTCGAAAACTATTGAGAAGTTATCGAGTCAAATTATTTAGTATGTACGCGTTGGGAAAACAATATTGAACAAACTGAAGCAAACCGGAAGTTTTTATCACTAATAGATGCTGAGAAAAAAATTGTTGAAGGTAGAAAAGTGCTGAAGCGAGCATTTTCGGCCGCGCGCTGATAAACAAAAGGCAGCAGACTGCATCTCGGCTGGACTATCAGCGCGGTCGTTGACCTATGCCCACACGCCACGCGAAAAATTGAATTTATATAAAATAAGTTCTTTTTGGCTCCGCGATACAATTTTCTTTTTTAAAAAAACAAAAAACTTGAATAAATATAAAAAAAAAATTATAACTTTGTATCCGACCGGGATTCGAACCCGGATACTTATTCAATCTTGCGCCTTGGCCGCTTGACCACGATGCGAATGAGAAATTATCGAACAAAACATTTTGCGTGGAATAATGCAAAAGAAAACCGCATGAAAATTCGAAAACATGCGTTTTCCCAGACATAAGACTAATCTAGATCGATTTATCACCCCCGAAACCTTCTATACTAAATTTCATGAAAATCGTTGGATCCGTTTCAGAGATTCAGATTATAATAAAGGGACATCAGGTTGATTCACTTTATCATTTAATTCCATATTCCAACTTAAGGCGGACGTGGGTATTCGGACGAGGAAAATGAGATGTTACTTTATATCACATAATATACTTACAATATTTATAAGCATGGATTGGACACTAATAGTTCTATAACCGTTTTATACAAAGTCAATGACGTTCAAGTACACCTTACTTTATCAAAAGATACTCCACCACACACGTAGCGCGATATTAAGCGATGTTAACGGCCGTTTGCCAATTATAATCTTGATGCCGGCTTCCGATTATTCGCCACGCTAGCGCTTGGTGTCGCATCAGAGTAAATATGACAACCACCCTCCTTTTCACCGATGATAGTTATAAATTGATAGTTTAAGTGGCCATTTACTCTTAAGTAGTCAAACCCGCCGTCATATATATATATATATATATATATATATATATATATATATATATAATTGCTCGTTTAAATCACTCTCACTCACCTCACCTCGCTCACTCTACTACTATTACTACTACTAATACTACTATTTTTTGACGCCAACATTCCGACCACCCTGTATAAGCTAGATGACCTTACTATGTGAAAAAACGAATCCGTATTAGAAAATATTCTTGATAATGCATAAGAATGGATTGCTTGACTTCGTTAGACCACTGCCTAGTATTTTATGATCTGTGGTTAGAAGTTTAATTATAAAATCGTTGAGTTTACGAAAGTTGATTGTAATACTACTATACGATTCAGTATACAATCACAAGTGGAGACATTCACACGCGTTTCGAAAGTTCTCATATACTCGTAATAATTCGTTCTATCAGTAACAATTGCAATACGGTTAGTAACTACGGTTCGTTGAAGTAGAGAAGTAATAAACACTTGAAATATTATTATATAAATTCATTGCAAAAATTATTGCTAGTAAGTGTTTAAATTATTTGTATTGTGTAGTGTGTAAATTCATTGTAATGCAATATTATAACATTGTCTGATTTACATAGTAATCAACAATTGAGTGCTCATTGCCATGATTTCATCATTTTTGTAAAATATTTAGCCAAGTTATTTAATTATATATTTTTAAAAACTTATTATATGCTATAAGCATAGTGCCGTATCGTTTTATTTTGTTACTTAAGTGTAAAGTGGTAAGAGTGAGTATACTATGACAATTGTAGAGCTCATATAGCTTCATAATTTTGGTTTTATCCTATGATGCAACCACAAAATCTACTACCTACGTTTTTTATTAGACATAGCCTGTCTTTGAATAAACCTTGACGGAAATATTATGTTGGGTACGTATGTATATATAAGCTACGTGACCTTATTATGTGAAAAAACCGACCGGCCAAGTGCGAGTCAGACTCGCGCACAAAGGGCTCCGTACCATTATCTTTATAAACGGCAAAAAATCATGTCTGTTGTATGGGAGCCCCACTTAAATATTTGTTTTATTGTAATTTAATTATTTATTTTTAAAGTGAATATATAACTAAATATTCTGTGAATATTTCAAGCGTCTGCCTGTTGCCGTTATCAATATCGAGCAAAAACGAGCAAAAATAAAAACGAGCAATCACGTTTGCTGTACGGGAGCCCCCTTAAATATCTATTTTATTCTGGTTTTTAGTATTTGTAGTTATAGCGGCAACAGAAATACATCATCTGTGAAAATTTCAACTGTTTAACTATTACGGTTCATGAGATACAGTGTCAGCAGGCCTGGTGACAGACGGACAGACAACGGAGTCTTAGTAAGAGGGTCCTGTTTTACCCTTTGGGTACGGAACCCTAATAACGAATGCATCCATACTTAATATTATCAATATGAAAGTGTGTTTTTTTGCTTGTCCTTCTTCCACGTCAAAACGGAGTGACGGATTGGCGTGAATTTTTGTGTAGAGATAGTTGGAGGGCTGGAGAGTGACATAGACTACTTTACGTTTTAATTAATTTAATTTAATTACGTTATAATCCAATCCAACAACATATTTATGATCAGAATTACTGGAAACTTGGTATTAATGATCTTCAATAATGCTATTAAATAAATATTTGTTTTAGTGTTTTTCGAAATTCGATTATAAGGCGGTAAAAGAGGGGATGAAAGTTTGTATGAAACTACCTTTTACAGATTTTTTGTAAGTTTAGCGCGAGCGAAGCCGCGGGTTCTGCTAGTTATTAGAAGATAAAAATAAAAATTATTGTCAAGCGCAAATCATATGACATAAGATATAGATTATTTAATGAAATAAGGACAATTTGCTTACTAAAAAATGTTTTTTGTTTAATATTTCAACAACCTGATATTTATTAGAAGTACAAAGTATAGGGATTTAGGGAGCATGCAGAAAGTAGGTTGCTTGCAAAAAATAGGTCATGAATCACAGTTGTCAAGTTTTGAAATTCGGAATTAGAGCAAAGCAATACAGTACCTGCCTTGCTCTAATTTTAAATTTCATAAAATATCATCATCAATTTCAAATTGCTGCAAAGCATTAACACTTTTATTTACATTTTAATTAATTAATTAGCATAAGCATTTCAACATTCATCCAATATTCTCTTTGGGGAAGTCAGAGAGCAAAGTAACCGTAGTAGTGATTACACTACGAATTTTTTTTATATTTTATTATTATTTTTAAAATTGAACTTTCTCAAAATCCTAAGGATTTTAGTATATAATGAAATCCACGGGCCTGAGCCAAGAGTACTTCATTGTAATTATTAAACCATTATATTAACATCTTCCTCTTGTAGAAACTTTCTAACTATACGGCATGTATTTAGGATAGTTGCTTTTTGCATAGTGCAGTACGTGGTGTCAGGTAAATCTATTGTTCTCAGTGAATGAAGTTAATGCTTAGGAATTACACCCGTGCTAGCACCAGCGGTACGATATATACTGTTTTTATTTTCCAGATTCTAATTATTTTTTTCCTTAAGTTACTTTTATGATATTCTATATTCACTTACCTTACTCGTCCCAGAGGGCTGGGGCAGTAGCGGAGGCTGGTGAGGTTCTAATCAGAATTCATGGAAGCTCAATCATTTTTAACGCACCTCGCACACGCTATTTAAATTTTGAGCAGCCTTAAATATTATATTAGTCAATATATTTTGTTTTTTAAAGGATCACCTATACGTTACTAACAATGGCAGAGTCTTCTTCGGTGGATCTGTCGAGCCTCAGCAAATCCAGGGAAGCTGACTGGCCAACAGTGCTGTTCTTCATACACATACACCTTCTTTCCCTTTATGGGATCTGGCTTATTTTCTTTGAAGCAAAATTATTAACGATTTTCTTTTGTGAGTATATTTTTAATATTATTTTATGATAGATCTTTTTTTATTCGACTGCAGTGAATCCCAAAGGAGGATTATGTATTTCCTCGTAATTCCTTTCAGTTCGATTTCTACGCAGTCGTGTTTTTATATTTATTTTAATAAATATTTCTTTATTGAACCTAGATACTACTATATTTTACAATTCCATGTTTTACATTTTGCTTTCGTCACTTTAAGAAAGAGTTATTGTTGCAAGCAGGCGGCGCCGTTTTGGTAGTAACGAATACACACATATATATATATATATATATATATATATATATATATATATATATATATATATATATATATATATGAATAAATACAAAAAAGAAACAAAAAACAAAAGTAAAACTTTGTATCCGACCGGGACTTGAACTCGGTTTGTTAATCTTGCGCCTTGGACTCTTCTTAACCACGATAATTATGCCCAAGCGTGCGAAATTAGCGAGCATATTTTGCGTGGAATAATGCGAAACAAAACCGCATGAACAATTTTCAGCGAAATCGTTAGAGCCGTTTCCGAGATCGCTGGTATAAATAAATATACAAGAATTGCTCGTTTAAATATATTAGATATAGATATTTTAAAAATGCTCGCTATCTTAACTTTTATAATATTTTCAGTGGTAATATTGACGTTAGTAGCTACATTAGGAGTTACAGTTGGCGCTCATAGACTATGGGCTCATCGCACTTATGAAGCTAGCACTAAATTGCGAATAGTTTTAATGCTGTTTCAAACATTGGCTGGACAAGTAAGTTAATTGTTAGACAATATTTATATATTTAAAATGCATGGCACAGGTAGCCATATAAATATGTTGGGACATTAACACACAGCACCATCTAGTTCCATTGTAAGCTACGAGGCTTGTGTTATGGATACCAGATAGTTGATACACTATACATATATAATTTTAAATAAATGCATGTTATAAATATAAATAGACATGACCGAAGTACAAACATTCGCGCTCATCACACAAATGAATTCCCCCAGCGGGATTCGAATCCGCGATCGCTGGCACAGCGAGTATGGTCACTACAAACTGAGCTATACGTGTCGTCAACGCTATTACTAAGCGCTCTTTGTCTTAAAATATCTCATAGAGGAGAATATATAAAAAATAGAGTTAATAACTGGTTTAAATTAACTATGCACATGTTTTCATAGTTTGCGATATTTATTACATAGCTTTTTAACAGTATGATATATATATATATATATATATATGATCAAACTTATTATAGCCCTTAAGTAAATCTCTTGAGGACCTAACTATAAATGGTATAATAAATAAAAATCCTAAATATAAAAAAAAAAACCTTATATGAATGTAAACATTTCAGGGATCTATATACGACTGGGTTCAGTATCATCGATTACATCATGCGCATTTTAAAACTGATTCAGACCCCTACGACTCTAGAAAAGGGTTCCTTTATGCTCACATTTTAACTAGACTCAGGAAGATCAGTCCTTATCAAGAAGCTGTGAAAGATTCGATTGACATGTCAGATATTAAAGCAGATTCAGTTGTTATGTTCCAAAAACGGTAAGGTTTATAATATTAAAGGTTTATTAAAAAACAATCGACTTTTACATGGTATAAGTCTTAAAAATAATGAACACTAAACATTTAGATAATGAATATTAATTTGTCTGGTTTTTAATACTATTTGACAAAAAAAAAAAATATATCTTTTTATTTCGCAGATTTTATTGGATTTTGTATGGAGTAATATTTCTTTTACTCCCACTGAACGCCCCTCTTGAGTACTGGAACGATTCAGTTTTAAGCACCGTATTCTTGATAGGTTTCGTTCGATATGCGCTTGTTTTACACGCTTCGTGGTTAGTAGAGAGTGGTGTGTGCGTTTGGGGTCTTCAAGAAGGCGAGAAGTAAGTATAAAAATATAGATAAAAATATATTATATATTAAAAAACAAACGCTAAAAATACTATATTGTAACACCCTGTCAATTTTTTCGTAATTCAACAAAATTTTGTCATGTGAGAGGTTGAACTTTTAGTGTTATTATGACTTATCTACCTACATTTTTATTATAGATTTATAACGAATACAATTGTTTAAAAATGATATAAAATTGCTTGCTTGTATTCAGCCCTTTTTAACGTCCCACTGCTGGGCACGGGCCTTCCTTCAATACCAAGTGCGGGTTGGCGGACTTCACATGTCTCTCGAAAACTTGCTAGGTTCTCTCAGACATGTAGGTTTCCTCACGATGTTTTCCTTCACCGTAAGGCAAGCGGTAGTCATCTTAGAAATGATTCGCACATGAAAATATGAGAGGTGCGAGACCCGGGATTTGAACCCGCTTCATTCGGTGTCCCAAGGGAGTGCGTTACCACTGGGCTACCACTGCCTTATGAACTTAAAATTGCTTACTTGCTTGCTTAAAAATGACATAGAATTAATTTATAAAACTAGAGAATCATTTAGATTCTCAAATTTTATAAATCATTTAGATTCTCAAATTTTATAAATTAATTCTCTAGCTCATGTAAGAAGTAACTTGTCTTTAATCGAAAGAAAAATAAATACTATAAGAAGTAAGTTCATTTGTTTAATCATGAAATAAAGATAAATTGGAACTTTTTTTTTCGAGCCAAGTAACTTAAAACTCGTATAGGATTTGAGTTTAAAGATCCAAACGTCACTTTTAGAATCTATCGTGCTTTATGGGTTGCTTTTCTAAGCTTATGTAATAAAATGTGGCCTGATACGCTCTGACTCTGTTTATATTATGAAAAATAAAGGAAATTCGTTATAGAATAAATTATAAAGTAAATTATTCTTATATTTGATTGTTTAAATAATTCTACTAATACATTATTATTAATTTTATTTCTAAAGTTTACGAGGTTTTAACAAGAGTTTTCGTAGAATATTAAAATCGTCATTTTCGCAAGTTAATTGCTCGAATTTTATAAAAAAAATCTTTAATATTTCTTGAAATTTTTATTTATAGGTATCCGCCTGATTCAAACTCTGTGTTCATACTTAATAGGACTTTCTGGCCTGAGTATCACTATATTTATCCTCACGACTACAAGTCAGGGGAATATGGATCATATGGTGAGTATAGATAGTAGTTGAGTAAAATCTATAAACTTTCTATTATTTTTATTCTTTCTATTGTTATATTATTAAAAGTTACAACTTTAGAGAAAAGAAGAAAAATTGCGTTTTTAACAATGATGACTCTAACTATTCAAATTTATAAAGAAGCAAAACGGATGACATAAACATATTCATGCACATTAGGTCTATTTGTTCTTTTATAGGGGTTAACAATACAAATCTCAGTAAATACTTATATAATTATTTCATTAACAAAAGCAGATGCACTGTACACCATCTTTAGGTGTGGATTTTTTATAATTTACTTAGAATATGCCATATTCATTATCGCTAGAATTTTTAAAATTAATTTACTATTAGTGAACATGCGGTGATACACCTTTCCTATTCGAAGTTGACCAATACATAAAAAATAAATGCAACACTCTTTTGCGCGGATTTCTTTTATTATAGATCAAAGAGTATCTGGCGAAGTGCGAGGTATCAACCTCGCACTTCGCTAGATTTGTTGATACAAATCTTAATTTCAATATACAACATTGGTTCTTTTCAGGCTCTGGTTGTTCAACAGCTTTCATTCGTGTTTTTGCTGCCTTAGGCTTGGCGACAAATCTTTGTACATTAGAATCTAGCACTTTACAGAAAGCTTTAGCGGAAAATGTTAAGACAAAACGTTCTCTTAAATTATGTATAGATGACGCCGTTAGCAAGCAAATGCTACCTGAAGATCATTTCTTAAAACAAAAATAAAGGATTTAAGTATTTCTGATTTTATATTTAAGCCGTTTTTATTTTTGTTAAATCTACTAAATTAAATTTTCTTGTAAATGGCTTTACAACGTGTCAGTGGACAAAACACGAGGGAGATTGGTCAGTAGAATAAGATTATTATACTATATTAAATTGTTATCTACATCTACACTACTAAATATAAAGAGGAAAGAATTGTATTTTTGTATGTTTGTAACAAATAAACTCAAAAACTACTGGATCGACCTACATTTAATTGATCTAATTAGATGAAATTTGGTAAGAATTAGTTTGAGATTCTGGGAAGGACATAGGATATTTTTTATTCCGGAAATCATTCCTTAAGGGGGTAAAATAGGGGTTGAAAGATTGTATGAAACTCCGTCATACTTAATGTTAAGTACACGGAAAGTAGTACTTAGTTTTATGATAAAAAATATATTTACCAGACTTTTTTCGAAAATCATCCCGTAAAAGGGTAAAAATGGGTAATAAAGTTTATAAGTGCAAAAAAAATTTCACGATCAGAATTACTTGAAACTTGGCATAAATACTTTTCAATACAATTAAATAAATACGTGTTTTATAATTTTTGAAATTCATCCCCTATGAGGGTAAAACAGGGGATGAAAGTTTGTTAGAAACTATGTATTTTTTTTAGGTGGAATGCACGGATTGTGGTATTTTATTTTAAAATAAAACCATACGTTTATCACATTTTTTCAAAGTTATCACTTAAAATGGTAAAAAGGGGTTGTAATTTTAATATGAGATTTATTTATGATCACAATTACTTGAAATTATATATTAATGATATTTAATTCAATATAAGACAAAATAAAAAATGCAAATAATAAAGTAAAAGTGACATGGAACATAATTGGTAGTGAAAGTGGAAGAGTCATAGATCACAGCTTTGATTTTAAGAATATCAACGATAATTTGATTACTTCAGACCAAGAAGCTGCATCTGGGTTTGAAAAATTTTTCACTGAAATTCCAATTTCAACAAAGCAATCACTCAACTCATCTCCCGCTATTGCCGAATAATTACTAAAGGAACAAGTTAAAGTATTTAAATTTAAACTTGTGCATCCCAAAGATATCTTAGCAGCCTTGAGAAGTTTGGATGTCAAGAAAACCGCTGACCTATGGGGTATATCTGTAAAAGTTATTAATTCGGTAATTGATGTTGTTGCATCTCATCTAGCTATTATACTTAATAGCAGTATAGATCATGGTGCATTTCCTGATCTAATGAAACACATAATTATTTCTATTTTTAAATCGGGTAGTACCTTAGACCCTAATAATTTTAGACCAATTTCGGTACTGCCAACGTTTAGTATTTTTTTTGAAAAAGTTATACTCGCGCAAATGTTAACACATTTCAATGCACACAATTTACTACATAAGAAATAGTTTGGATTTATGAAAGGCCGCTCCACAGAAGATGCTGGTGTTGAGCTAGTAAAAAATATTTTTGAGGCGTGGGAAAGGTCACAGGATGCACTTGGGATATTCTGTGACGTTCCAAGGCGTTTGATTGTGTGCATCATGAGACACTGATTAGGAAACTGCATCACATAAATAAGAATACAGAAGGTTGATGTAAATGTTAAGAGATCTCTTGGGGCTCAATTAGATATCCCCCATATCAAATTAATCCCCTGAGAGGGTAAAAATATTATTAAGGTCGAGTTGGATGTCCTAATGAAATGGAAAATTATGTATAACTTCTCGGCTGGACACAGGAGTGACAACTATATCAGACCTAAAGCGCGAGAAAAAGAATCTAGCTAGAGGGTATCCTGATGTTTCTAATATACCTACAAACGAAGTCTTAGCTAGGCTTTGTAAACATGCTACACTGGTCCTCTAAAATAACAGCACTACTACTTTAAATAATGTCCTACTTAAGTTCTTTAAATAGTAAGAAATAGAATATAGGTTTGTCGATACATCGATGCAAATGCAAAAACACTATCCTGTAGAGTTCCTTAACATTGCTAACCCATCAGGCCTCCTTTCTTATAATCTCCTCGTGAAGGTTGGCACGCCTGTAATGAATAAGCTACCTAAGCTATGTAACGGGGTTACACAGCGATTAATCCATAAAACATTATAGTGGCTACTGTGTTTACTAGACGTGCTCGAGAGGATTCAGTATTCGTACCTCAAATATCACTGATAACTTCTGATTACGACTTTAAATTTCATCTATTGTAATTTCTCCTCAAAATTTGCTTTGCAATGAGCATTAATAAATGTCAGGGCCAGTCGTTTGCAACTTTTTAGCATAAACTACGTTAAGTGAATCTAGAGTGATTACATAAATGTACACATTATATTAAAATTCGATATGACAATATAAAAATTCAATGGAAATTAAAACTGAGTATTTTTTTTTAATCCACGCAAGCGTAGCCGCGGGCAGAAAGCTATGATAAATTAAGAATGACACTTTATACATGTAACTTAATAAAGGAGTGGAATGAGAGACTGTAAGTTTCAGGAGTACATGGCATTTATTTATTTTTTTCTTTAAAAATAAAGTAGATGGTGGTCTGTTAATATGTTAGCAAAGATTATCCGAGTTACATGATTCTAATGCAATATAGCCAAGGAGTTTGTTTTTTTTGTAGTCTTAACGGGAGCGAAGCCACGGGTTTTGCTAGTAAAATATAAATAAAAAATTGAAAAAACCAACAACGGAAAATTGGACCTACAACAAAAGACAGGGCATTTAAAAAAGATTAATTAATTAAAACTAAGTAATTACTAAATTCCTGTTATTTTATAAAAAAATGTAAGTCTATAATCCAATTAAATTACACTTAATTTATTTACATAACAATAGATATATCAAGGTTTTTAGAAGAGCATTTAAAAAAAACTTGTTTGTTTTTAAATGCTCTAAAAATTCTCTAAAAAAACAAACAAATGTAACTTCCTACGTACGTACATAAGCACACATACACTTTTTTTTAAATTTTGAGGTTAATTTCTGTCACTGCTCAATTAATGTTTTTAATTTTGATAAAAAAAAAATATACGGATAATTTCTATGTGTGAATGGTCTGTATGCTGTAGGGTTGAAAGAAAACAATTCTCTCAGATTTCTTCTATTTATCCTTGATTTTTCTTCCTTGTTATTGCTCTGTTTAGAGCTGGAGTTACACTGATAAAATAATTGTACACCTAAACCTTATTATTTCTATCAAACGTATTCCCTTATAACTAAAAAGTTTCTTAGAACATAAACTTTAAATAAAACAGGTTTTCACATTTTCCTACAATTTTGCTCATATCTTCTAAGCAGGTTATCCGATTTCCATAATAATTCCAATTGGAATATTAGTTCTAGAAAAAACCTATCTTTTGAGAATCAAATTTCATTCATCGATTATATCATATTATTGACATTCACATATTAAATTAATTTTACTTTGTTCCTGATGTAACCCCATGGGGAGACGTAATTAATATCCTTAGACTGTGTCTATGTGTGTGTATTCTACTCGTAATAATACATTACTGAGTATAGCAGTATTAATTATTTTCAATAAATCGTAAAACAATTGAATTATATTCTAAATACAGCGTTACAGAATACAAAATGTAACCTTTTTTATGTATTATTCATATTAGATATATGCTAATTAGGGAACAATAATGATAGAATATGTATTATTTGATGTCTTTATAAAACCTATGATATTTATACAAAATATAATATGACAAGCAGAGCTTAATAATTAAATATGCGTACAAAACGAGTCTTCAGGTATTTTCTGAACTTAGTTCGATTTTTCCATGAATACTCAGCGACACCTGTTAAAATAGAGTATCAAGAAAATTGTGTCGATAAAATATAACTTATATAATCGCACAAATTGCCTATATTTTTAAAAGCAATTTATTTTTATAAAGTATAATTTATTACAATAAGATTCGAATTCGTACGATTTCACGTACGCACGTAGTTTATTACAATGGAAAATTTACAGAATAAATTAATTTAATAATCATAACATTGTAATTATATGGACTTTAGTGAAATAAGTAATATTAAAGATTAAATATAAATTACCTATGAAAAATGATGATGTCAGTCCAATAAATATAACAAGTAGTGCGGTCTTAACATCGGCGGCGCGTGCAGAGGCGAAACCTGATGGCGGCGAGCATTGAGGCATGCCTGGTACTAAAGCTTTTTCTAATCTTCCAAGAGCTCCACTACTACGCAGCTGTAATAAGCTAATAATACCATTCATACAATAACAATTAAAAAGACGCAGTAAATAACTATAAATATCTAATTAATTATATTAAAAATATTTTTTCTCTCTTCTATATTTTTCTCCTTTTCATAGTTATCAAATTCTTTTCCGAGAGTAAGAAGCAGGATACTTCTATTACAGAGCTGACCTAGTTTGAGCTCGTGCTTCACACTTATATTGATAAATGAAATATTTTATTGTACATTATGAAGAAAGAATAAATTAAAAAAGTGTAAGTAAAGTGTTGAGAAATAAAATACCTTAGAAGGATGGATCTGGCATATGGGGAGCTCGATAATAGAGGGAAGGCCAGCTGAGTTCGCGTCGACAATACGGGTAACTCTCGAAGGGCACATCGACCTCGCGCTTGACTTAGAGACCTATGTTTAACGTTTAAACCATTATTTAATTATTATTAAATATAGTTCACTAGATATATATATTCAAAACATTTTGTTTTATTATTTTATATTGGCGCGTGGCGCAGTTGCAGCACGCTTACCAAATATGTCTGATATCGTAAATTATTTAGGTATAGGTACCACTGTATTAGTAAATAATTAAATTGACTATATAATTAATAAATATTAGGCTATTCGATATTATAAGAGTGACATAGAGTTTAGTCTTTTGTCTACACTCTTACACTAGCAATATAGGGTGTATTCGAGGAAGAGAAGCAGAAGTTTTTAATAAAAAAATGTAAAGGTAGAGTTACTTTTTTATTTAAAGAGACATTTTATTGTAATTCGGAAAATAACATGACTTTTATATAAATATTTTCAGCATAGTGAACCTGTCACGTGTCATTGGTCACTTTTCATTTACCTTACTACAAGTTTTTGAACACAAAAAGCTAATACGCCCTGATCTAGTTGGATCGTTAAATGTGAACTTTTAAATATCTACTATAATGTACAATCAAAATATTATGTTTCGTTATTGATATTCTTAATATTATTAATGTGAAAATGTGTTTGTTTGTTTTTTGGTTTGTTTGTTTGTTTGTTTGTTTGTTTGTCCTTCGTTCACGGAGTGACATCGTATTGGCGAAGGCGAATATCGAATTGGCGTGATTTTTTGTGTGAAGATAGTTGAAGGGCTGGAGAGTGACATAGGCTACTTTTTACCATGGGAAATTATCTAATTCCCACAGAAATATACGTTATAATACAATAGAAAAAAATATTTATGATCAGAATTACCTGAAACTTAGTATTAATGCTCTTCAATAAAATTAAATAAATACGTGTTTTAGCATTTTTCGAAATTCATCCTATAAGGGGGTAAAATAGGGGATGAAAATTTGTATGAAACTACCTTTTTAGAGATTTTTTGTAGTTTTAGCACGAGCGAAGCCGCGGGTTCTGCTACTAATAATATAAATACAATGTAAATATTCATATTTTGAGATGAACATTAAGTAACCTTAATGTAGAACGAGCAACACGTTGTCCTGAGAAGAATGCATAATCTTGCTTTGCAGCTCGGACTAAACCTTCCTCAGTCGAAGATACCAAATTTTCTGCCTCAGAATAACCACGAATATAGAAGGCGTTGAGTTGAACATCTTTTGTGGACTAAAACAATATTTTGAGTAATTATTTTAGTACCTACAATTATAAAATTCAATTCATATAAATAAAAGCAGTGGTAGCCCAGTGGTAACGCGCTCCCTTGGGATTTCGAGTAAAGTGGGTTCAAATCCAGGGTCTCGCACCTCTGATATTTTCATGTGCGAATCCTTTCTAACATGATTAACACGTGCTTATGGTGAAGGAAAACATCGTGAGAAAACCTGCATGTCTGAGAGAACCTAGCAAGTTTTCGAAAGACACGTGAAGTTCGATAACCCGCACTTGGCCAGCGTTGTGGATTATGGCCTGATCCCTTACGTATTGAAGGGAGGCCTTTAGAATTTTTGTCTGTCTGTCTGTCTGTTACCGCATCATAAGAAAAACCACTGGAGGGATTTTGATGAAATTTCGTATGGTGATAGCTGGTTATCCGGGTCAACATATAGGATACTTTTTACCACAGGAAAATATCTCATTTCTGAAAAAAAATACAAAAACTGCAATGTAAGAGTGTACTAATATGTAAAACCTAAGAATGGAGCCGCGGGCAATGCTAGTTGAATATAAAACATGAACTAGAATTGAATTTTTAAGATTTCTTTTGTAAGATTTCAGCGTTTGATTAGAGCTAAATTAATTTGCTTTGCTAGAAAAAAATATAACTTTTTAATTTACCATTAAAAACATCTGATCAGCTCCATTCTTTACATAACCAATCTTAATATTCGTTGACTGCAATACGTCAGTCAGAGAGCCAACACTTGACACTCGTACTGACAGCACTGAAGTTATAAATGCTGCATATGCATTGTATGAAACCAAGGCAAATAATAAGCACACTATTAGTAAAACACTAGCGGCTAAATTTGGAGGCGTCCAAGATCCACCTGAAAGTAAAATGATTGTGATTTTTTTTATTAACATTATATGTAGTAAGTAAATTGTATCGCTAGTTATTATTTGAATATCTTCTGCTACTTTAGAGCAAAAATGAAGTAAATTAAAAATAACTCGAGTATTATGGATCGAATAGCAGATAAATAAAAAATTTAGTCTAATGCTATAAAGAGTTTTGTATATTACTCTACTCGTATTAAATTCGGATGAAGGGGGTAATGTCTGAAAGTACTTCTACTGATGACTTTCACGAAAAAAAGAGAAAAAATCTTTCATTACGAGGAAGCTACAACACCGAGTCTACAAGCTATTCTTTCTAGTGATGAAAAAAAATACGATTAGTTACTTGTAATTGACTAATAAGGACATTTCAAGATTAATCGTCAAATTTAAAATTCTTTAATTTTGATTTATGATTAGTTAGCAAATAATTTTTAATTTAGTTTTATTTATGGTATGTTTAATATTTTGCTTTTTTGTCGATAATAGTATGTAATATTAAACAATAGAATTAATAGTAAGCAATCGAAATCGTCGATTATTAAGTGCAATAATCATAATCGTAATCGCTAAGTGATAATTGTTTATCACTAATTCTTTCAAAGAAGAAATACCTAATACTCGTAATAACGTTAATGGAAAACGGTTTTTTTGTCTTTAGTTGAGTTGCTTATCTACGTGTGTTGCCTCAAAATGGCTTGATATAAAGCAATAAAATGTATGTAAAGCTACAAGATAAGCTAATTTAGAAACTAAATCAATTTTCTATTTTTTTAAATATACCAGAAACAGACAAATGTATAATTTATTAAAGATTAACTAAGCTTAGTTGCTCAATTTAGGAAATTTCTTTCATCACATCAAAAGTAGCGTATATGCTATTCCAGACTATAATCTATCTCTAGTCAAATTTCATCTAGATCCGTTCAGCCGTTCTGGTGTGATAGAGTAACAAACATGTATCCATCCAAACTTTCGCATTTATATAGTGCTAAGATTGCAGGAGTAAATATTCGAGGAGAAACGAATGAGATAATAAGAAACTTATATCCAAATTAATGTATTTTGGTATAAATGAAACTTTTTACTATTTATTTCCTTAAAAATATATTATGTATACCTTGCTGACAGAGTATACCCGACGACCAAATTAAAGCTTCAGTACAACTCATATATCGCGATCCGTTGTGTAATTTGGTTTTACTTATAAGGTATATTACCAAAGCAGCGGCGAGTGCTATACATATTACACATGCTAAAAGTGTTGGTTTGAATGGTGCTAAGAAAATATCACGAACTGCAGATGTTTCTTGGTGACGAATGTAAATATTGCACCTGAAATAATAAAGTGTACAAGTATTAAGTTATATTTTTATTCAATTGTAGGTATAACATACGAGAAATAGGTATATCTATATCTAATCATATTTGCTCAAATATATGTATTTGAACTTTAACATACTGTTTCAGACAGACGAATATATCAGCAAAACGAGCTTACATAGTTTTGGCTATAGGAAAAATGAAATCCAAATCTTTATGATGTGATGATAAAGTGGTTACTGGCTCCAACGCTATGTCGACAGAATGGTCCATCAAAGCACCTAAAAGGCCGGTCCAAGTACCTTCGTATGTACGAAACCCAAGCTTACCATAATAACGAGTAACAGGCCTAAAATCAAAATCCATGTATTTATATTGTATACATAAGTAGGCACGTAACATTGGTACAGTTTAATATATCTTTTTAATAGGAAAAATTCCGTAATACATTGTTTTCATATAATTCTATTGGTTTACGCAGAGCACGCCAATAAAGTCGTCATGATTTTTCGCAGTCAATTTACATCTTCAATATCGTCTACAGTCATTGTCATATTCTAATTTACATAAAATCTTAATAAATTATACACATAAACCTTTCTCATGGCTCACTCTGTCCATTGGTGAAACGGCATGAAAATCCGTTTGGTAGTCTTTGAGTTTATCGCGTTCAAACAAACAAACAGACACACGCGGCGGGGGAACTTTATTTTATGATATTATGTAGTGATTAAGTTCCATTTAGGCCAAATAAAGAGTGTTTAATTATAGTATATTAATTATAGCTTGCTTCTGCTAGCGTCGAAAGAAAATGGTTTTTGCTTAAACAAAAATTTATCTTTGATGTTCGCAGCGTCATTAATTTTTTTAATTAGTATAGGATTAAAGTAATATTAAACTTCTAGTATAATGCTACTCGTTTGTATTCACTATTGGAATTTTTCCATGCATCACTATTAAATATGCAATCCAAGTGGTTGTTATAGTCTATATACATATGTACAAATTACATCTAAATCCGCTGAACCATTTACATGATTCAATAGATCAATATCTCATTGTTATTTAGTCACAAGATAAAATATAAATAAGTTTATACAAAAAATGTACAGCAATTAAATAAAAGATTCGAGAAAATGTAGTATTTATTACGTTGCGTTTAAGCGCAAAGCAAGAAAACTTAAGATGTCGTCCAACATATCTGGCGCTGACAGGCCGTCTTCCTCTAAGGAAGCAGACGATTCGATAGATGCATTACATCTGCCAAATACAAACTTCTCTCCCATAAATTTTCGAGTTTCCACTGGATATGGGGAGCTTACTGAGGTCATAGATTCTTCCTCCCTCCATACTCCTATAGGGATACGTTTATTTATTAAATAAAAAAGAATAACTATTTTTTATTTTTAATAAATATCATTCCACGAATTCATTACGTTTGAAATTTAAAGAATAAAAAAAAATTAGAATTACCTAAATATGTAACAAAAAGAGTTGAATTGAATCGTATCTTGAAAAATTGTAATAGATGGATGTTAATATAATTAAATTGGATATTATGCATCTTCTTCCATTTTCTTATAGAATGTCTTAAAGAAAAGTCGCTAATATTTTCTGTATAAAAACTTGCTGAAAAATTAAAATTTAAAATTCCTGAACGCCACAGTGGGACTGTTTTGCCAAAACTTGTGTAGTTTTTGTGTCTTGTAAGATTTGAAAAGCGTATTGAGTCGTGAAAATATTTAATTTCATGTTCTGTTTTATTACAGTTATATATAGAAATATCATTGTAACGGCAAAACTTCGTATTAATGTAATGGTTTTTATTCTTCGGTAGAATTTTTCTAAGTAGTCCTTTTTTTCTATAAATGAAGTTATTCTTGCACAGACCTAAAGTTATACTTTTATTCCGTCTTAGGTCAGGTAGGGCTGCTAGGATATTTTGGTCAAAACGCCCTGCAGTGGCATTTAACCCATCACTTATAAGATTAAAGTCAGCAATTGATTGGCCTACAATTAACCAATCATAAGAAGCCGTATTCATTTCCCATTTAGTCATCTAAAATAGTAAAGGGTTAAGACGTTTACTATGAGATCGAATGTATTATGTATAAAAATGAAAAGCACAAGTTCTTAAAAACATTGTTTGTCCTTTTATGCAATATAGACGGTTAAACATATAACGGTACCTGTTTAAGGAGAGTTATAAAAGTATCAGTAGTGTTACGAAAAGGTGTGTATGTTGGTGTAAATATCACAATGCCGGACGTGGTGTCCACCCGTACTTTATTATCTATGTTCACAGCTGAAGCTATTCCATTTACACCTAGGCACTTTACCAATCTTACTATAGCCCAATAACAATCTGCAACAATAAACGCATGTAAATATTAATTTACTTGATTCACTAGAAGCCACCTACGTATGGGATCCCTAGCTTAAAAGTCCTCTAAACTAGCCCCTAAATTATATTTCGTTTTACGATCGTCTTTACTCGTAAGCCCATATTTCGAGCACCTAAATTTAGGGGGCCTTTTAATATTTAGGTGACCCCTAACTGTCGGTGAAACAGAAACTGTCCCCTAACAGTCCCCTAACCATGCTTAGGGGATCCCTTAAACTTAGATGACTTGGTGAAATCAGGCATTAGACTTCTGAAACGTTCAAAGTTTTTCTTGGTCCTGTTTTGAGGACTACATGCAAGAAACGTTAAACGTTTAACGTTCTCTCTGATATCGCTCTATTGTAAAGTATTATGGGTACTTAAGTTTTAGGGCCACCGCAGCTACAGCGGTGGAGCTGTCAAAAGCACGGCTTTCCGACTTAATAAAAAAATATAATCATAGCTAAGCCAATTTGTTCGTAATATATTTAGATTTTATTTCCCACTAGCAGTTCACCCTCGCTTCGCTAGTGTTCGTGGTACTAACGTATTAGCGCCACCATCATAGCTGCGGTGGCATTAATAAGTAAGTACCGTATTATGATTATTAGATAAAATTGTAAATAAAAATAAATATCTCATAGTTATAACCGTCTTTTGTTTAAATTTAATTTTTTTTAGATATTGAGCGACTTGCTATATTGCATTTCAATTTATTATTATTTATCAAAGGGCATCATATAAAATAAATAGACAGTGGTAGCCCAGTGGTAACGCGCTCGCTTGGGAAACCGAGTAAAGCGAGTTCAAATCCCGGGTCTCGGACCTCTGATATTTTCATGTGCAAATCATTTCCAACATGATTACCACTTGTCTTAACGGTGAAGGAAAACATCGTGAGGAAATCTGCATGTCTGAGAAAACCTAGAAAGTTTTCAAAAGACATGTGAAGTCCGCCAATCCGCACTTGGTCAGCGTGGTGGACTATGGCCTGATTCCCCTCGTATTGAAGGAAGGCCCGTGCCCAGCAGTGGGACGTTAAAAAGGGCTGAATACATACATACATCATATAAAACTATTCAGAGATATTATGTAAATTATTACATTTCCACGTATCATGTGCATTATTGAAGTAAAACTTCTTTAGGCGCGGAATGAGAGAAAAAAAGGATTGGCGTTACGATTCTTGTAACGGAAACGGCTTGTTACGGAAGTGAATAAAGAGTCAATTAAAAATTATTTCATGTATTATATGGATATTTCAAAGAATAACTTAAATAGAATTAGATATTTATAAAAAATACTTTCTTTCATTTATTTATATATGAGCGATGGAATCATATCAAATGAGAATTGTTACGTTCTATGAGTTTATCTATATATATTATAGCCTTTTACACTATCGATGTTTTATTGCTCTTGGTTAACAAGAGTGACTGATAGAGATTCACTCACACGCGCATTTATACACAGTTCTCGTTAAACTCAGTCACTGAACACTAATTTTCACCTCTAGATACACATTCACTATAACTTCAGTCCATTATTCTACATAAACATAAATAAAGAACATTCTAGTATTCGAGAATTCGAAACGGCATGGCACCAGCCGACATTATTTTAAGATATGTATAGGAAAAGTACCAATTATGGAATACGTTCCTAATATGGAACACCATAATATTTTTAAAACTAAGCGCCACGAATATTCTAGACGTATGTCATAGTATCGCTCTCGCTACCCGCGTTCGACGGCCAGAGGGAGTGTGGCTTTTGGCAGCACTAAATGCGAGTAAGAGTGCGCGACACTGTTGACGAAACATCCATTGGATATTTACGTAAGCTTTACGTATATGTTCTCTTATTATTCTTACATGAATATTTCGATAAAAGTTGGTGAGTATCTAATCAAAGTATGTAGTTTTTAAATGGTATTGTTATTTTATGAATATTTAATAATAATAAAAAGTTATATTTTTTTTCCTCTCGCCATCATATTGTTCGTAATATGGAATATCGTCGAGTTCCTAATATGGAATACTAGTCCATATTAGGATCTCAACGTAAGTAAGTTTTTAATGTGGTGACTTATTACTATTTCTCTGTTTTACAAATATATTCATGATCAACATGGATCCGCCAGTAAAAAACCGAAAAGCCTGAAACAAAACCAATATGGAAAATGCTATTGAAGCGGTGAAAACCCAAACAATGGGTTATAAGAGAGCTGCACATGTCTTTCATATAACAACATATAAGTCAGAAAAACAAGCGAATGTAGAAACCAGTGTTGAAGTCTGAATCATCTTCTGATAGAAATACCACCTTTATCTAATGATTATAGTGACGATAAGCCCGCAGTTACTCAACTGTACGATCCAAATGCTGACGCTGGGTGCATTTATTGCTCTGTTTTTCTCAGTGAAGACAAAAAGGGAGAAGAGTGGATTCGGTGCATTGCCTGTAGACAGTGGTGTCACGTTGCGTGGTCCGGATCAGAACATGCAGATTTTATTTGTGATTTTTGCTTGCAGGGTTGATTTTATTATTTTGTTTTGATTAACGAGACGTGATCCTATTATGGAGTAGGGTATTCCATAATAGGATCACATTTTTGAGAAGCAATTTTTTGGTTGATTTATTTTAGTTAATAATATTACGGAAAGTGTTTATTATTTGATGATTTCATTATTACTTTTCAAGAGTAATTACTACTGCATTTAATTGTAAACCATTAAACTGATTAAAATAAAACTTTTGTACTGGTTTTTTTCAGAATTTGTTTATGTATTCCATATTCGGTCCTTCTCCTATATATCTATATGTATTTTGCGTATCGAAATATATTAGATTTGCTTTGCATCGGCTGACACCGATTTCAAAAATATCTGATTAGGTATCTATTCTAAATGAAAACCCCTGTTTAGTTATTTTTTACATTTTAGTGCGCGGAAGTCGGTTTTTTTTAAGTTTTTATTACAATATCAACCAATGTATCGATCGGAAAAGTACGTTCGTGAATCATAATTTTTTTTAACATATTATGGAAAACAAAGTTAATTTTGGAGTTGCTAAACTAACAAACCGAACTGAAAATATTCCATATCTCAAAAGCTACTTAACGTATATTCTGCAAAGTAATTTTCGTTGGGAGAAATGACTACAAAAGGTAAAGGAGGCACCCTCCTCTTTTATCTTTTGAAAAAATTGGGACACATAAAATAATTACGAATTTAGAGTCATATAGCTCGAACATATCCCACTACAGGAGTCTACATGCTTGATTGTAATTGTAGACTCTTTTCCATACATCGGACAAATAAAGAGATCTATTAGGATTTGGGTCAAGGAACACATAGCTGATGTGAAGCACCGTCGGAATACTGTCTGTGGTCTGTCAGTATAGTGTGGATCGCTCAAGTCTCGAAAAACTTCGCGGGAGAACATCGTTATAATCCTAGAATGGTTGATGAAGCTGTTGAAATTAAAGAAACTTCCCAATTTCAATAGTGAAGGTGGCTAGGTCTAAGTAGCCTGCGTATACATAATAAAATCAAGCACAAAAAATTAAACGAGACAATAATAATGTCCTCCTGACTGATTAAGGCTACGGCGGCCAATCTCATTGAGCCTAGCCAACTGCGCAGGAGATATTATAGTGCACAAGTGTACGCGCAGACACAAGTGCACTCTCTATTCCTGTCACTCTCATACTCCGGTGGGACGACACGAGACACGACCTGTGAGAGTTAAGGCGCAGGACCGACGGCTTTACGTGCTCTCCGAGGCACGGGGGTGAAACACCGCCAACTTCCCAACTCCGGGCTGTTACTGAGGCTTACTATACAGAAGGACTCAATAACTAAACTTGGCCCGACCCGGAACTCGAACCCAGATGTGCAGCCGTACATGCTAGCCACTACACCACCGAGGCAGTTAAAAAAAAAAATAGGCCATTAATCGTATTACTGTGTTACTTAACTTTATAAACATAATAATAGCAATCAAAATAAAAATTAAAATTACATTCAATGTTATAACTTATTAAAATTTAAAAAATGGTTAAACTAAAAAACTTAACTGTCCGCAAAATAGACACAATAGTCAAACAATCGAAATGTTAATATATGACTCATGGGACAGGGAAGTGGTTAAAATCAACAAATACTGTAAGGTACTTT